GGTGATCTCAAGAGGTCCCTTCCAACCTAAAAAAATTCTGTGAGGTGTTGAAAGAAAGTTTGCCACAGATTTAACGTTTCTGACGGCTGAAGGAAACATGCATTGCTTAACAGGATCTCTGAAAGGACTAAACTGTTGCAAGTAACTTCCACTGTTTCATTGGTTGAGATGAAGTTATGAGAGGATCATCTCAAATCAGGCTGCTCTTGTAAATAAAGACTTTCTCTGCAGATATTTATGCTGTGTTCTTGTATGGGGTTTCTCTCACTGTCTTTTGTTGCTGTTGGGACTGCCATGAGCACTGTCTCGAGTCAGGAAATCCAGACTCCTAACCGATGAGGAATAGTTGATGGCTAAGGGTTCAGCTGTCACTGGCTTGTCCTTGAAGTCTTGTGCATGCTCTGCCCTTGGATCTCTGGTAAACGCTGTGCTTGTCCTTCTAGGGGTACTACTTGGCCCACTACATAATGGATGATCTAAAGAGAGATCCCCTGTATTGCTTGGATAATAATCACACCCATCTCTTACTGGTTGATAACGGCACCCATGGGCACCCGACAATAGAGGCCAAAGTACGAGCCCAGTTAGAAAAGTACATTTCGGAGCGGGTTATCCCAGGTAGGTGTGAGCAGCAGGTTGCAGACCTCCTTCTTCTTAGTCCTTGCATACTTTGGGGCTGATGCACAATGATTTTCTGGGAACAAAAGAGTGGTGGTAGCGTCCCTTGGATGCTGAGCTGGAAGGCACGTGTTAACTGTGCTGTGTCTTGAGCACGTTCAGGAGCAACCAGACTTCTGCGGAGCAATACCCCTCCCCTCATCTTCCTTTCTGTATTTGACAATAGTCCGTTGTGGGACACAGCAAATAATCTGCTTCAGCCATACAGCCCTTCCCTCCCTGCTGGGCTGCTTGTTGGAAGCTGACCCATCTGCCTATTTCCTATCTGGCACTGAATTCTGAAGCACAACTACACAGGAGCTGAAATTAGGCTTTTTTTCAAAATATTAATTTGTGAGGGTGATTGATCCATCTGAAGCTTGCTCCTGAATAATTTCTCTTTCAGCTCCTCCTTTCCCAAAAAGGAAAAATTCAAAAGCCATGTCAGGAAATTCTTAGTTAAAGAATCTGAGTTTGTGGGTTTGTTTTTTTTTTACTGTGTACCTCAGCTGAAACGTACTTGCTCATGACAAAGCACCTCGAATCATTATGCAACTTGGTATGTCTCTTAAACACTAGCTCCTAGATGTACCAAATTCTTACCTTTCCTTTACAATTGAAAATCTGAAGTCAGAGGTTCTGAATCTTCAACTTGTAATAAGAACCTTGCTCATAGACTCAAAACGGTCCAAGTGGTACGTAACCAGAATAAAACCGCGTGTTTTGGGGACTTTGGATCACATAATCGTAATCGCAATTATGATTGTAAGGAGGAAGAAAGCCTTTGGTGGAGAATGGGGTCTGAAGGAAGCTCTGCAGAATGTTAGGCAGAACTGAGTTTCCATTAAAAAACAGGAAAAGCTGTTGATAGATTGGCAAAATCAATGCTAAACTCGTATCAGAGTGTCTGCATGAGCTGCTTAGAAATTCCTTCATTGTACTCAGGAAAAATAAGTTGTTCGGACTGCATTAATGAGTTGAATCTTTTTCCCTTTTCCTTTTGGCATGTTTCACAGAATCTAATTACGGTGGGAAGATTCCAATTGTGTGTTTTGCCCATTTTTTTGGAAAGAGACTTTGAAAGTAAGTTTCTTTCTTTTACTTATTTCTAGGAGCAACAGTAGGAGCATTGCTCTAATATTTAAGACAGATTACTCCACAAGCAACTTGATAAAGTAGCCAGTCCTATGATTTACTGAAGCTTGCCCAGCACTGGCTATGAAAAGACCTTGCTTGCAATTTAAGCTTATGAAGTTTGTTTCAGTTAAAGTTTTCCGTGCAAAGTTTCTACCTCAGGCTGACATCCTGGAAAACTTTTGGCTGGGAGCGTCCAGTTGTCTCGATTCTTCCATAACAAATCCAGCACAAAAATAAAGTAGCCAGTCCTATGATTTACTGAAGCTTGCCCAGCACTGGCTATGAAAAGACCTTGCTTGCAATTTAAGCTTATGAAGTTTGTTTCAGTTAAAGTTTTCCGTGCAAAGTTTCTACCTCAGGCTGACATCCTGGAAAACTTTTGGCTGGGAGCGTCCAGTTGTCTCAATTCTTCCATAACAAATCCAGCACAAAAATGTTTGTTTCTTGTGTTTATCGGAGCAGCAACGGGAAGAGTCTTCATCAACCACGTAGCTCTTGGTCCTTTTTATATAAAAAATTTGCCTGAACTTTGGTTTGGGAAAGCTTGGCTTCCCTATGCTCGGTGGAGAGTGGTGCTTTTTTGTAACATGAAGGGAAGATCAGCTGGAAATCCTCCAGCTCGGAGCTTGCTTAAGCTGACATTTGATTGCTGCTCCGGAGAACTGTGGGCTGCACCTAGTTAAATCCAGGCAGCTGAGCGAGGCAGGAGGGCTCTGCTGCCCCTGACTGACCCTTCTAAGCCTAGAAGGGGAGGGAGCAGACTTCATCTTCAAATAGATGACAGGTAGGAGGAGGATGAACAGAACGGAGAAGGAAGAAAGAAGTTTCTTGAAACAGGATGTCTAAGTAACAATTAGGGAAGGGAGGAAAAAGAGATGAGTTCTAGATCTGTCTCAGTGTTTACAAACAGGATTGGTGCTTCCCCCTCCACCTTGCAAGAGTGAAGATGAGTGGCTTGAGTGAGGAAGGTGGGTCTGAGGGAGCAAAGGGACCTGGCTCCAGGGAGTTTGAAGGGAGGGAATGTGCAGTCAGGCTGCGTGGGAAGGGAACAGCAAGAGTGAGGACGAGATGGCTCTGACAGCAAGAAGAGCTGACGTAGCCTGGGATGAAGGACCTGGGAAAGGGGCTGAGTTTTGCAAGAGGGTAGGACACAGTGAAGGGAGTATGTCAGTGTTTTGAGTGGGTAAAACTGAAGCAGGGTGATATTTATAGTTATCTCTTTCGAAGAGGTGATCTTGGTATCACCTGTTCTGACCAGAGCTATGCTGGTGATACCGAGGCTAATTGAGGTTTTGCCTGTCAGGATGACAAACAATGTGAATTCAAAGCACAGTCTCTGTGACCATTTCATTGCTAACATTAATCAATTAGTCTGAACCACTCTGTGAAATTTCAGATCGTTACCCCAGCCTCCCTGTATGTTTCCTGGGTGTTTTGGCTCCATCCACGTGATTAATTGTAGCTTCACCCAAAGGGAGGTTGTGGGTGAATACAGATGCTGAGTTCAATGTGGAGGAGGTCCTAAGATGAAACAAAAGCATTCATTCAGGTTTTAGAGCAAAGTCTTACTGAAAGTGACGTGTTGAATATGCTCGTTTCTCCTTTTAGTTCCAAATTGTCTAAGAGAGGATTTGGGCATCACTGAAAAAACTGTTTCTAGGTGCCATGCAGTGTAGTCACTTGGGCAGCCTTGTGGTTACAGGTATATTATGGAAATCTCAAACCCACTGTTAAGAAATGATACATGACACAGGCTTACTAGCTATCTAATCAGAATGAGTAATAGCCTTGTTAAATTAGATGCATAATTCCTAGCAAGAGGTTCCTCTGAAAAGTAACTGGATAATAGTTCAATTAAGGGTTCGTGCCAGTCTCTTGGCTATTTATCGGTGTTGTTAGTACACAGAGACCTTCGTGTCGGCCACCTTGCTCATTTGTAGGCGAAGCAATTTGTTCAAGAAGTAAATTGAGTCTCTGATGAGCTCAAAGTGACACAGCAGGTTCCAAGCCTTGAATGCATGTCCTTGCCATGCCTTAATCTTAGCAGTGTTGGCCAGGAAAGACTCCCTCTTTCTCAGCTTCTGTGACTGGTGCATGATGACAGGAATTGACTTTAGCAGAGGAGGAGTAAAAACTATTTCAAGCTTCTGTTTAAAACTCCCCGTGATGTGAAACATCCATTTCAGCTAAGCCCTTCTTAAGAAAACCACTTTGATCTAGTTGGCAAGAAGAAATACCTTGCTTTTGTTACGGTCCAATTGTCCAATTGATAGGAGTAATGTGCTCGTGGTTTTGATGACTCCAAGTTGATTATTTTTGTCCTCATGAAAGAGTCTCTTCAGGTAGCTAATAGATGTTCTGTCTTTCCAGTGGTTGATCATAACTTGCATCGACTCCTTTTGTACAACTTGTTGGCAGACAGCTTCTGTTCTGGAGACTGAGTTCATGATGGCAGCAATGCAAATTAAATACTTGTCTCCTGTTGTGGTCTTTGTAACAGGAGGGATAATAGTCCTTCCATCGTTATTTCAACACCTTTTTTTTTTTTTTTCCTTGCTGATAAGTTGTGTACAGCATTGCTATGTGAGAAATCACGTAAGTAGCTACTTGGAGATGTTCAATAACATTGGAGTTCAGTATTCTCATGATGCTATGAGAGCGATCTCTACTGCTTGCATCTCCAGCAAATAAAGCCAGAGCCCTTGAACTCAGCTGGGGTGTTACTTGAGCAATGCTGTGCTGTAAACCAGCAGTGACTGTAGCTAGGCAGCGTTGTGATGTGTCCTGAATGCCATTTCCACTTGGCAATTTTCCTGATCTGCTAATCGACTATAAAATTTGGCAGGTGGTGATTTCTGTCCCTCAGTTTCTGTGGGGCTCCTTACAGCTCTCTGTCATTAGATGAATGTTGTTTTAAAGAATGGGTAGTAATGAAAGTACTGATCTGGACCATGGGTTTCTGTTTTACTAAAATCAAATCTAAAATCTCTAGGCTTTTTTAATGAGTAATAAACCTCTAATCACACAGTCAAGTGATCACCTCTCCCTCTTTGGCTCCCTAGTCTATCAACGTGGCCATCAAGAGTAGGATTCCCTGTGTTGTGGTGGAAGGCTCTGGCCGTATCGCTGATGTTATTGCTAGCTTGATGGAGGCAGAAGGCACTCTTGCTTCTTCGTGTGTCAAGGAGAGCTTGCTCAGGTATCTGCCTCGCACCATTTCAAGGCTCTCGGAAGAGGAGACTGAAAGCTGGATCAAATGGGTAAGTGTGTGCTACTCCAGGGAGCTAGCGAGGCTGAAAGTGGGAGAAAGGTAGAGGGAACAGGAGCTCAGGAGCAGCTAGTGACTTCCAAATCAGGGATGTTGCTGACTAGTGATACCTGTAGGATGTAAAGTGCTCCTTGCCGTGACATATCCATGAGGATTTAGAAAAGAAAAAACTCAAACTCTTATAAAACTTACAGGGATTGGTACAGAAGGAGTGGGAATTGCAATCTTTTGGAAAGGCAGCACATGTCTAGGCACAGGAGAGCTAAGGCCAGATGTTTTGTAACTGTCTGCTCCCTGGATGCTTGTGATTCTTCTGGATGTGTCTCTTGGCTGATGTGTTGGTTGGTGGTTGGTTGGTTGGTTCCTTTGCGTGCTTAGTGAAGGTGGAGAAATGGGATATTTGCTGAATCGTGCCTGCTGAATTGCTCATAGACAAAGAGTTATCGCTGCTGCCCCACGGACTTTCAAATCGTAGCGTTCTACTTCAAGATTTCCTCATTTGTTCTGAAAGTTTTTGTCTTTCTTCCTGCATCCCTTAAGACATTGAGTAGGACAAGTTTCCCTTACAGACGAGGAGTGGGACATTTAGGACTGGAGGCCTGCTTGGTCCGTGTTTTACCACGGCAGCATCCCTACACCATCTCCGTTGGGACTCTGTTAGCGTTAACTTACTCGTCCTGTGTACATGGGACACAGCTGAGGGTACAACACTGTACCTACACCAGCAAATTCTTCTTTTGATTTTCTTTGCCTCTTTGACCACAGGTAGAGCCTTCAGGATGCAGTCACTGTTGTGATCCCATATGTAACTGTTTATCACAAGAGTATTTTCTGGAGACTGGGAAAACTGGAGAAGTAAGGAGGACATCTGCTATCTTGAGCCAGTCTCTGGAAACACTTGTAACTGTCTGGTTACCTGACCTTCAGATGGACCTGGTTTTAGATATACTTCTCTTCTTAAGAGGGACAGAAGAAAATGGAGCTCCAGAAAAATCCTAATGTTCTGTTGTTTTTCAGAAGTCTTAGTTGTAACACCACTTCAGCTCAGTGAACAATCCATTAACTTGAGCTAATTGATTTTCTCAATTAACTGCCCAATGCTTTACAGTGGGGTCTGATTCTGTTTTCCTCTCTTGGTTAATTATCTCCCACCCACGCTCACAGTGGGGAGCGGGGAGCGATTGCGTATTCAAACCTCAGTCGAAGTTCATAATGGGAAATGGAATAAGTTATATAGCTTCTTGTACATTTAAGGCCCCTTCTCTCAGCTTTCTGCCACCCCCTTAACTTTTTTTTTTTTTTAAATGAATGTACCATTGCAGGTTGTTTGCAGGCCCCAGAGAGGAATTCAGACAATCGAACTTCTGAGTGTGTTTTCTTTGATATAAACCAAACGAACCTTCTGCTATTGAGGTTTAAGGAGCTATTGTTTCTGGTAAGGCCTGGGTCAAAACTCTTGGTCAGAGCTTGGCAGAACAAGTCCATGGGCAGCCTGCAAGTTCCACTGGGCAACCTGTTCCACTTGACTCTGTTTAGAGCAGCAGGCTTGGACTAGATCTCCAGAGCTATCTTCCAACCTCAACAATTTTCTACTTCTGTAATAAGAAGCTTACAGGAAAAAGAGCAGGAATAGGGCATGGTCTTTTGCAGAGACAGTCCTGCAGAAACTGAGTCTGAACTTGCACTTGGAACCTGAGGGCTGTGATTTCCAAACCTGAAGAGGAAGAACTGTCTTCTGAGCAGACCATGAGCCTCTGGTTTCCAGAAGGAGCTCTGCACTGGGGAGTGTGGAACTTCTGAAGGTAGTTTTCCCTGTTCGGTCACATGGCCACACTCTTCACAGCTTCTGCTGAGCTGCCTTGGAGTGTACCTTGTCCTTCAGTCAAGAATGGCTCAGATTATTTGCTTTCTGTGTGCTAGAATGAAGGTAACGTTATAAGGTTGTGTGAGAAATTATCTTTGTTTCCGACAAAGAACAAGGAGAGGGAAACTGTTCTCTAGTAAACTGCTAGACGTTTGTGGAAACTTGTACTGTCACAATCCCGTTTGTCTTTATGAGTAATTTCCAAATACTGAGATTGTATCTTTTTGGTTATGATGTTCTGCATAGAGGGAATCACAGTTATTTGCTGTATGTTCGGAGGATAATTAATCTTGTGCTTTGGTGACTTTAAAATAAATCTCGTTATCTACTTCTGTCTGGACTTGATTAAATTTTAACTATATGTGGAAATAGGACTGATGAGAAGCAGCTTTGCTATAATGTAATGGGAAATTTCTTTTAAAGATGCTCTAGGACATCAGCTACTAAACGGCATAGATTGCTTTGAAATGGAACTTTTCTCTTTTTGTAGATCAAAGAAGTCCTTGAGAACCCTCATTTACTGACAGTTATCAAAATAGAAGAAGGTGGAGATGAAATCGTGAGCAATGCCATTTCTTTTGCTCTGTACAAAGGCAAGTAATTGTTTTTCTGGGTTTGTTTTTTTAAATAGATGGAAAGAGAGAGCTATTCATTTTCTAGAACAGCCTTCTCTAGAGCAGTGCCATCTCTCTAGGGTTAAAGCTTCTGCCACAGTGTGGAGCTTGTCTTCATCTGAAGTGGTGTGGACAGCCTACAGCAGCATTGTGATCTGTTAGTGTGGGTGAGATCAAAACCCAGTCCAGATAATTGGGAAGGCATTCAGCAGCGCTTTGAGGATGCTGAGATAGCATCTCTGAGAGTAGCATACGAGTATGCAACACAACAGGGAGTCAGGAAGCCAAGCAAAGGATCTTTGCTGGCTACGCTGCAGAAGCGGATTTACTCAGCATCCTGCAATGCAAAATCAAGTATCTTTGGCATGTGTGGATTGAAGAGGTTTGACTGGCGCTCAGCAGGGAGAGAAGCATCCGGTTAATTAACAGTCAATGTGTAGGGCTGCTTCCTAACTCTTTCAAATCCCAGTGACTTGCTACCATGAGTAATTGAGACCTGCCCTCTCTACTACTCCAGCAGAGCAGAACTAGTAGTTAGTGAAGGTTGCTGGGCTGACCTCATTTTCCTGTCTGCATGAAGAAAGCCTGTGAAAATTACAGCTTCTCATGACATTTCTTGTATTGGGCCCTATTTGGAATCCTGTTTGGGCAGAATTTCTTCCAGCTAAAGGGTGCAGGAAACTGAGGAGCCTGAAGGAAATGATGTGTTGATTTTGGCTGATGAGGTGCTCCTAGCAGCTCGTTTGTGACCTATGTTGGACCATAAACATGTATCTAAGCCTCCAGCATCCTCTAAAATCTAATCATGAAGATGTGCATGAGTCTGGGGAAAGACACTTGATAGGAGTCTTGTCATGTAGAGTGTGAAAAGCAAAGAAGAAGCCAAGAAGCTCTTCTGTCTCTGGTCTTTTACTTAGAGGATTGTTCCTCCTCTGCAGCTTTCAGCACCAATGAACATGACAGAGATAACTGGAATGGACAACTGAAGCTGCTGCTGGAGTGGAACCAACTGGACCTGGCCAGCGATGAGATCTTCACCAATGACCGAAACTGGGAGGTACAGACCATTTCTGTCTGAGTACAGTGACATGGGACGGGGGAGCAGTGGGAAGAGAGACATCGTAACAGCAGCCACTGTCTCAGCATCCCAACCTCTGATGATAAGTAAGAGTGTCTATTCCTCCTTGCACTGACATCATTGGTTGCACAGTTTATCCGCGCGTGCCAGAAGTACTCAAGTCATTCAACAAAGACAATTGCATACAGAAAAAAACTGATTCTGATGAAAATGTGGCAGTTAGCCACATGTCAGGCCTTTAGGTAAGCTTTAGATGTGTCACGTGCTCCCTAATATTTGCTTTTCTGTTTCTTCCTAGTCTGCTGACCTACAGGAAGTCATGTTCACAGCCCTAGTCAAAGACAGGCCCAAATTTGTCCGTCTCTTCCTGGAAAATGGCTTGAATCTGAGGAAGTTCCTTACCACAGAGGTCCTTAGAGAGCTGTACACGAACAACTTCAGCAGCCTGGTGTTCAAGAACTTGCAGATCGCAAAGAACTCCTATAACGATGCGCTCCTCACATTTGTGTGGAAGATGGTTGAAGACTTCCGAAGAGGTCTCAAAAGAGATGACAAGAATAGCAAGGATGAGATGGAGATACATCTTCCAGTAAGTCATGAACAGTTTGATTCCACTATATGTCTCCTGAAAGGAAAAAAACCAAAAATGACATTTTCATTCTGGTGTAGCAGGATTTGTGTTAACAGTCTCAGCCTGTTTAACATACTGCCTCATTTTACAAATGCGTGTAAGGGTTGTTTAGAAAATGGGTGAGTTTGGGTGTTGAGTTAAAATATTTTCTATTAGAGCAAATCAATGCTCTAGTTATGCTTATAATTGATATCGATATAAATTCATAGTCTGGTACACAGATGCCAACTGGGCATGAGGAATTTGGTCTCTTGTATCTTAAACCTTGCTTGTTGTAAGGGTGTCAGGCACCTTCTTGGCTTTATTTCATTGTCAGGTAGAAGCAGACTACTTAGTTACCACAGGATAGTAGATTCAATCATCAGCTCCAGATCTGAGTTTCAAAACTGGAGCTCAGGCATCAGATAGGAAACTTTTGGAATCAGTTGTTGACTTCAGAGATGCAGTGCAACACCTGTGACATTCAAGGGAAGCTTGGTTTGAAAATGCAGGTTAGCTTTGAGAGTTTCCGTCAAAGCTTGTGATTCTTGAAAGTTTTGTTGCTCAGAAGACCTTTTGTGATGGCTTTGCCATCCCCAGGTGCTAGTTACTCTGATGCAAAGCAAATGGTGGTATTAGAAATTCCTCTCTAAGTTTTTGTGAAGTTCAGGGTGTTGTTTAAACACAAAAGGCATATTGATATCAAGTTAGTTTTCCTTTTAGAGGATGTTGATCTGTGTCATAGAATCATAGAATGGTTTGGGTCGGAAGGGACCTCAAAGATCATCTAGTTCCAACCCCCTTGCCATGGGCAGGGACACCCTCTGCTACACCAGGTTGCCCAAAGCCTCATCCAACCTGGCCTTGAACGCTTCCAGGGATGGGGCATCTACAACTTCTCTGGGCAACCTGTTCCAGTGCCTAAATTCTAAATCTCCCCTCTTTCAGTTTCAATCCATTGCCCCTTGTCCTAGCACAACATGCCCTTGTAAAAAGTCCCTCTCCAGCTTTCCTGTAGGTCCCCTTTAAGTAAGCTTGCCCCGGAGCCTTCTCTTCTCCAGGCTGAACAGCCCCAACTCTCTCAGCCTGTCTCCATAGCAGAGGTGCTCCAGCCCTCGGATCATCTTCGTGGCCTCCTCTGGACTCACTCCAGTAGCTCTATGTCCTTCTTGTGTCCTCTAAGCACGAAGTCAAGCTGTGAATGAGGCTATCTGAACTGCATGGGTTAAAGCAGAAAGGGGCTCAAATATCCTTTAATGCCAACTTAAGGAAAAACAAGGAGGCTGATTCTTCCACATCAAATAGGAAAATAGGTGGCTTTAATATAAATATAAAAATATAATTTAACTTACGTTAATGTGTGACAAGTGCCAGATAGCTGAGAGAGAGAGGATCGATGGGCTGGCTGTAAAAGGAAGAAAATATGAAAATAGGAGAGTGGCAGGCTGGGATTTGTTCCAGTTGGAAACATTTTGGTGAGCTTAGGTCTGAGGAATTGTTGCTATTTCTTTCAGGATGAGTGTCCTATCACAAGACACCCGTTGCAAGCTCTGTTTATTTGGTCAGTTCTTCAGAACAAGAAAGAGTTGTCTAAAGTCATTTGGGAGCAAGTAAGTTGAATTCTCCTTTATTCCTCTTTGCAAGCAGTACAGTGGTGCTCCTTGTCTTTGATTTGTAGGCCTTTGAAGGCTCCGAATCCATCTTCAAACACAAAACCACAAGAGCTAATTGCTAGATGACTCTGTAAGGAGGCTTAATAGTACCCATTTTGTGTTTGGGTGTGGATTTCATACTTTCCTTCCCAAATGTCATATGTGAGTCAGCAGTCCAAGCTAGGGTTCCCCTGTAGTCATATGTTCTCATCTGTGTTTGAGCTTGGATGCTGAGTTCCCGCCCATTCCACAATATGGATGTGTTCTCATCCCAGGTGTTTGATTGAAATCCGTTTCTAATTTTGATTAAGCAGTACATTTAGTGATGATGTATCAAATACATAATTCGCAGAGTGTAAATGCGAGGCTAATGCAAGCAAAGCTAATGGATGCTCCTGCTTGTGTTGGTCTGCATGTCTGAAACAGAGTGCTGCTTCCCTGTTTGTGTAGATTTTTTTTTTTTTTTTGAGTGGAATGGACTAACATAGTCTGGGCAATTCGGGGTACACCCAACTGGTCCAGACTGGTGGACAGTGAAAATGGTAGTGTAGCTTGTGACAGAAGACCCTCTTTTGAGAATCTGCAGCCAGAGATGCCAAGCTGACCTATAACTATTAAACGCTTTTTGGACTGGTCACAAAGTTGTTATCAAACCAGTACACTGATGACTACCATTCCTTTTGTGGAACTGGACCTTCATTTGCCAGTCTTGACTGGGAACTGAGCAGCTGCAGAAAGGGGAATATTTTTAAAGAATGTATCACATTCCCTTCACAGAGGGCTTTGCATGATTTAAGTTTCTCCCAGTAGACCAGAGGTTGCACTTTGGCAGCCCTGGGGGCCAGTAAGCTCCTGAAAAGCATGGCGAAGGTGAAGAACGATATCAACGCTGCCGGAGAGTCTGAAGAACTCGCTAACGAGTATGAGACAAGAGCAGTAGGTAAGTGCTGCCTTTAAGTCCTTTAGAAATTTAATAGGAGGGGTCAGAGATGAGGAAATTGTTTCCTTTCTTGGAACATTACTTGTTCTAATGATCTCCAGGTCTGATGTGTAGCGATGATGGCATAGTGATGTCTTTATTTTGTGCAAAGCAAAACTCATAACTCTGCTGGTTTTGCTCAGCAAAATGCAAGGCAAGATAACTCATCCAATTTACCTGGAATACTGCACAGAAATCCAGCCTGATTCTTAAAGAAGAGAAACGACATCTCAAAAGGAAGTAGAAAGAAAGCTTTATTTAGAAAACTAGATATCCACCATTAAATGCGTCGCTTTAATGTCAAAATGTGGTTTTACTGCTTGGAAATCTCTTCCACACCATCTGTTCCCAGTAGAAACTGTGTGTCCTGTCTGAACAGCTTGCCTTCAAAAGTGGGTGTTGTGGGTTTATTTTTTGGGTAGAGAATTTCTTCCATTGGGATGAAAAGCTACCTGGCTCTAATGGCAAGGGTGAAGAAGGGTGCCCAGAAATAGGAAGGAGAATATAGAATAAAAGAAGCTTTCTGCATGACTGCTGGTAATATTCAGGTTGAGAAAAGCCACCCTTCAAATTCTCAGGAGTACTTTTGGGGACTGAGAATAAATTGCAGGTAAAAAATTGATTGAATTCCTAAATTCCAAACTATAAATTCATATACCTTCCTTATGCTTATGCTAAGATAACAAGCAACGCTGTCGCTCATTGAGAAAGTAGATCTAGCTCAGTTTTTTTTCTTTTGACCTTCAGTTTCTCTTTTTTCTTTTGTATGACCTTCAGTTTCTTTTTTTCTTTTTTCTTTTGTATGACTTTCAGTTTCTCCATTCGCAAGGGTTGTCAGTGATTCAGCACGGAGCCCTGCGTCTCATGGGCTAGAGTGACTAATAATTTCTTATTTAATGAGGGTAATTGGTGACAGGAGAGCAGGGAGATGTTGGTTTGGTTTTTTTTTTTAGGACTTCCATTTTTCTGTAGCAATAATGCTGATGTTTCCTAAGCATCTAGTTATCCTGCAAATTGAAACACACAAATGAAAGCCCGCACAGTTGGCAGATATCAGAACAGGGATTAGTTTGTAGCACCCACAACTGACAAATTGAAGCTTATCTGGGGTGCACCCTGTGGTGCAGGACCTTGGTTCCTAAACTTGGAAGGAAACACATCACAGTGTTGCCTCTGGGGCTTTGTTGCAGGTTATGGCTTTACTCTTTTGCCTGATGCAGAAAGCAGTGGATCTCTAACTGTGTTGCTGCCTGGCAATTTGCTGTCACCACTATAAATCAGATTAGATGACAGGTAAAGCGTAATAGCCCTGCAGACTGAACAGAGGAACCACAGAAACATGGCTGGAAAGGGCTTCTGGAGGCCTCCAGTCCAGTCTTCTTGTGGAGGTGACGTTGTCACCAGGACTAACTCAGTTTGGTCGTGGCTTCATTTACTCAAATCTTGAAAATCTCTACAGATGGATATTGGTTTATTGCTCTTAAAAGCAGACCATGTTTGTTCCTTTTCTGGAGCTTATGGAGATTAGATTGACCTGTTGAAATTGATCCTCATTTTTATTTGTGTGTATTACCAGCAAAGCTATTTCACTATCCACTGAGAAGTGGCACAAGGCCACATGGAAAATATCTTGCTTGTTACCAGAAAGGACTCCTGCTTCACAAGGTGAAAACTCCTTAAAGAGTCTTTCCTAAAGGTTTCACCGTTTCTCAGACCTCATTATTTAGCAAGACATTGAGAAGTGAACAGGTTCCATTGAAGCCTATCTCTCAAGATCTCGCTGCATGTTGCAGTATGTGTGGCAATACCAGCCAAAAGTATCGCTGTACGTGTGTGTCCTGGCAGTCGTGGTAACACAGATGTTTGTGAAATGCCTGGGAACACATGCTGTTGGGAGAGAAGAGCTTCTAGTGAAGGCTGGTGTGTTTTCTAAGAGGCTGGATGGCTCTTCAGGCCATTGCAGCTGCACCGACAGAACTGCCTTCAAGTGGGAAACGTCCAGACCTGGGAAGAGAGTTAATTTTTCACACTATGTGCATTGTTAGTGACAAAAAAATGCGAGCAGAATAAGATGCTTGTAGCTCTTCTAAAACAACTGTGTTTGCAATGCGTGTCTCAATGAAAAAGTGTCAGATTCTGCCCTTGTTGTTGAACTCTACTGTCGATATGGGACTGCTGAGACTAAGTCATTAGATCAGTGCTAAACGAATGAAAAGATGATTAAACAAGCAGATATACTGAGTCATAGGAGTAGGAGAAGTTAATATTTTCACTCAATTTTTTAGTGCAGAACTCAACTTGATGCTATCTCTGTGTGAGCTGATTTAATATTAGTTTTCCATCCAGACACAAATTGCCTATGAAAGCTTAATGCATGCAAGTGGGGTTGCAAAGCAATACACACATTGTTTTACCATGCTGAAAATGTGGAAAGACTCCTTGTTGCTTTGATATTATAAATATTATACTTCGGAAGTCACTTAAGACAATTGCATCTGAGTTGGTGGGAAATGGAGTCTGAAGTTGGAGCTCAGTGTGGGGCCACCTCTTTCCTCCAGAGCTGTTCACTGAGTGCTACAGCAGTGATGAAGATCTAGCTGAGCAGCTGCTGACTTACTCCTGTGAAGCCTGGGGAGGGAGCAATTGTCTGGAACTAGCAGTGGAAGCTAAAGACCAGCAGTTCATCGCGCAGCCAGGGGTGCAGGTAATGTCAATAAAAAGAAGGTGCACGGATTACTCTAACTCTTGTAATCCGGGTAGTTTAAAAAAAAAAAAGTGAATGTTCTCGCTGTGAAAATGCTACATCCACGTGAACAGCCTGTGAAAGGCTGGTGCTCAGACACTGTCCTCGTGGAAGTGAGAGCCTCTGGGAGAGGTTTCCCAGCCCTGTGAACACGAAGCTTTGTGCTGTGCCCTGCAACGTGCTCACAGAACCAGTGTCTGCAGTGCTGCCAAATGCATCCCAGAGAGCACTGACCGTGCCTGGGGGGGAACAGGGTGGGGGGCTCCTCTTCTTAAAATAGGAAAGTGGCCCATTTGCCCACAAATGCTAAGTCGGGAGGGGAAGACTTGATTTAGAGCTGTAAATCGTAACGAACTGGATGATAAAGACTGCCCGAAGTGACTTCTCCCTTGGCACAACTCCTGTGCCTTAAAAATCGGGTCAAGTCCTGCTCAGCCTCCCATTGAACTCCTCATCATGTTGACTGGACTAAGGAACCAGCACACTGTTACTGATGCAGAACGCTTTCTGTATCGTTGAAACAAAGGAATCCCAGTTATTTTGGTTGAAATCTCAAAGTTTTGAGGTTTTTACTAAATAAAATGACCTCTAATAGCATTCCTAGGTTATTTTGTTGCTGTTAGAACACGAGGATGTTTTCTTTTTTATTGCAGAATTTCCTTTCCAAGCAGTGGTACGGAGAGATTTCAAGAGATACTAAGAACTGGAAGATTATACTGTGTCTGTTCTTTTTTCCTTTAATCGGCTGTGGTTTCATCTCATTCAGGTAATCAACTGGCTTCTTGTTAGCAGAAGCAAAGCAAGTCAGTCATAGAATCGTAGGGCAATTCAGGCCAGAAGGGAGCTCTGGAGAGAGATCGTCCAGTCCAACCCCTCTGCTCAAAGCAGTCAGCTAGAGCAGGTTGCCCAGGACTGTGTCCAGTTGGATTCTGAGTATCTCCAAGGACAGAGACTCCGCAGCCACTCTGGGGAACCTGTTCCAGTGCTCAGTCACTCTCAAATAAAGATATTTAATGGGTGAATGAGCTTTTGACAGATTGTGTCCTCACTCTGATCTGCAGTTAAGGTGTGCCAATTTACTTGCGTGCCTGAAGTCAGTGGATGCAGAATGGCATTACCTTTCAAGTGTTGTCCTGTGCTAGACTCCGCACCTTTCTAATTTTCTCTTTGATGAAGGGCACACATGCTTCCAGGCTTAAAAGACCTTTTCTTTCTTTTCCCTCAGGAAAAAGCCCGTGGAGAAGAGTAAGAAGCTCTTCTTGTATTATGTGTCTTTCTTCACCTCTCCCTTTGTGGTCTTCTCTTGGAATGTCATCTTCTACATCGCTTTCCTGTTACTCTTCGCCTACGTGTTGCTTATGGATTTCCAGAAGGAACCTACCGTCCTGGAGATAATCCTTTACGTGCTGGTCTTCATTCTACTTTGTGATGAAGTGAGACAAGTAGGCAGCGCTTGCAAACCAAAAATGTTTAATGCTAGATTAAAAGCCTTGTGGTTTTTCCCCTCCTAGTAGCGTAAGGCAGTACAGGCTGCTTTTAAGTCACAGGGGAACCACTTCTTGGGAGATACGTTCAGGCAACTCAAGGCACAGAGGATTTTATTCTTTTTTTCCCCCTAGATGTTTAACTCCTACTTGTGCCTCAATAGTTGCAGTGTCCATGCACCAAGAGGAACGTGTATTGACTTTGAGGCTGTGTGGATAAGCTGATGCCAGCGGAGATATTTCTCAGGAATGTTTGGCTTGGATTGCCAAAGAATATAGAGGTTAGATTGAACAGATGTATCTGGATGCATCTCTCTAGATCATCCTGCCTCCACATCCCACCTCCCTTTTATTTTTTTTCTTCTCTTTTGACCAATGAGCAACTTATTATGCATTTCTGTTTGTCTTTTAATCATAAATGCAGTTTTTGCTACATTTCCATAGTCCTGAGGACCAGCTTTGGACCTACATTGCTTTTACTGGTGTGGTGTGGGAACAGCATGAGGGTCTGCCTTTATAGCCAGCTGCTTAGTTGATATTCTTCTCACTTCATACGTAAGGGGACATATGAAATATGTTGGTTTTCAGGCAAGCTGGTCTCTACCAGTCAGTGTTCAGAACAGTAGGAAGATGCTGGGGAAGTCAGAAGAGAAATGGGTGTGTGGCTTCAGTGCAGAGCTGCTTTCTGCTTGTCCTGTAAGGCATTAGTCTCCACGTGAGTGTTTGTGGGTGATCTGCTGGATCAGACCACCCTGCAACAACATTTCTTACGTGAGCTCAGATGACGCCGCTGATTGTTGATGTTACTGTGCTTAACTTGCTGTGTGGTCTTTTCCTCTTTAATAGTCAAGGTGGTACCCAGTTTAAGGCAACTTTCCTTGCTAAAGAAAATGGGGGAAAAGTAAAAGGCTCTGTTGCAATGAAAACACTAATGGAGTGTTTGTTTCTGCTGATTTAGGTTGTGGTGTCTCTGGACCTGTCCTTGCACTTCCCGTGTGTACCCAGCAAAAGTCCTGGGGAAAAAGCCTTAGGGATAGAAACCTTTTTTCCTACCAGTGTCACTATTTCTCACTACCCTGAGCAGGTAGAACAGCATCAGATCCCAGTAATCCTGTTAATAACTGGTGGCCAGACTGTACCAGTTTGTGGGAATGAAGGCAGCTAAAAGAGAGACTTTACTGAAGATTTAAGGTTATCTTAAGCCGGTGCCCTGGCTTCAAACCTATTTTGCTAAGGAGCAAAACTAAGAGCAGTGTCCCAATCCTCTAAGCTTCTCAGGAAACTTTCTCTCTGGTTTCTTCTGAGATAGGTTGGGTGTGCATTGGTTTAACTGCAGTCAAGGTAGTAACTGTGTCCTTAATGTATAAAACGAAGCGGGATGTCTCAGATTTTATTTTCACATCAAAGGAAAAGTAAGAGTAATGTTGCCTGGGGTCCCACTGTAGCTACTGCAGTCAGATAACTAGTTCTGGGGACAAATCAGCCCTCTGATTAGTGTGGTGTGTCTGTAGAGGTGACAACTACTAGAAATTGTTCCAAATTTAAAGCAGATTGTTTCACCGTTCAGGAGAGCTGAACTATAAGCCACTGGTTTAAGCCTGCTTTCATTTCTCATGGTCCTAGAGATTTTTAACTAGCCACAGCTGCTTTCTGATGTTCTGTTTAGAGCTGTCATGGCAATAGTGAAATCGGAGATGCCTTTTTCCTGCTATCTTCTTAGCCACATGGATGTAGCCTCCAGCCAGGTGAGTGGGTAGACTTGTGGGGTTTGCAGGAAAACCCTGTTTTCTCAAATGGAGAAGGAATCTGGACCGAACCTCTATGCACGTTACCTCTCAGCAGTGGGAACTGCCTGATATTTGAAGGACTGAACTGGCACTGCAGCCTTGGTTGTTACCACTTATTTACATGCACCTGCCTCTGTTTTCTCTCTGCTTTAGACTAAAACCTGTTTCCTTTCCTCCATCCACAATTATGCCCATAATGGAAGAGGCATAAGGCTTAAACCTGCTCTATTTAATATGGCTGCAGTGCTTTGTGAAAGCCATCTGCACCCTAACATCTAGCTGTTCACATAAAGCACCAGTTCACTGTTACATGTAGCAGGACAACCTCTGTTTGATTTAGGGAGTTGCTAAACAGAAACAACCCCATGTCGTGAGTGTCAGACATGCCGACCCCACTCAGTGCTCAGCCTGTGGTACTTTAAATAATGGGAAAGGTGTGTGTGTGTCCCAGGATGCTGAAACAGTGTCTGGTAATATCTCGAGCCCGACACCTCGGTAGCTGCCACACCTCTCCATCTTTTGCGATGCATCCCATCACGTGAAGAAAATGCAACAGTTGTGCGACTGGAATAGCAAAGTGGAGCTCTCTACTCATAGCTACTTCTGCATTTGGAAGGAAATTTCCTCAATCTCTGTTTCCCATAAAAGTGCTGAGAGCAGAACTGCCTTCCTTGGATGTGTCAGTCAGAGATTCACCCATCAGCGCTCTACTAAGATTTGGTTATTTCAATGAAAATTAAGATTTACGATCAGGGGCTCAGTCTATTTCTTCAGGCCTGGTGGAGCTTTTTCCTGGTTAAGCTCCTTGTCCTAATGAGTCACCTGTGAATTGGATCCAGAAGTTGATTTTTGTGCAAACTCTGGATCCAAGGGTGCACTACCAGTCTGTCTGGGAACGGGCAGAGATTCTCACTAGACTTGCACTTCAGAAATAGAGAGCCAGGTAATTAAAAGAATAAATTAAATTTGCATCTTTGATCAAAAACATGTGTGGTGGTTACTTGCTGCTCTTTTTCCTTTCCAGTGGTACATGAATGGCAGTAAGTATTTCTCAGATCTGTGGAATGTTATGGATACGCTAGCAATCTTCTACTTCATAGCAGGGATTGTGTTCAGGTGAGCAATATCTTTTCTTATGGTCACGTTAAGGCTTTGCTTCCTTTCTGAGTTTTGACTACAACGTGTAACGAGATTTTTGGGAAATGTGTATTCGTGAAACTCCCCGTTCTTTATGAAGGCCCCAATACTGCCAAGGCTTGACTCTAAATCTTCGACAGCAAGTAAAGAAATAAAATGAAGTGATGAGCAGAATATCTGCATCCAATATTTTCTCTTTTTTGTTTAATGGAAGTTGAGTCTATCCAAAGGTGGTTTTCCTAAACTCAGATCTTTTTGGGCCGGGGGACAGCCCTTCTTAATGCTTAGGATGGCATGAGCAGGTTTAGAAGATGATGTTTGAAATGGGCTTAGTTTTCATGACAATGCCTTCAAGACTGGCTATATGGAGCATATCAGACAAAGTTGCAGGGTAAGATGGCTAGTATCTCAGAGAGTCAAAAGTTCTTTGGGATTCTCCCTGACTCCTCTTTATTGACTATTTAGTATAGTAATCTGGAGTCTTTGAGCTTTAGTGTGTTGTATTTATGGGACTGCAATTGTACCTACAATAGTCTAGCAGAACGTCATTAGCTCACAAAGCTGTTTTACATGAATGAGTGAGTTAACAACCATGACAAAGAAATGGTGGAAACATGTTTTACAGTGTAATTGTTTGGTCAACCGTAACTTAGTTCTCATTGCCTCAGTGCAGCAGAGTGGTTATTCCACTGTGGTGTGTTTGGAGGGTTGGAGGAGTAGCTGAAGGTACAAGACTTTGTTGCTCTCTGTAGTTCTAGAGGGGAAGAGGAGACATGACGACGATGTAGCTGAGGTAGGAAGGGTGTAAACCAAGCGTGCATTAACCAGTTCTACCATGTGTTATCAGGTGGGAGAGGGCATGGGGCCCTGCATAGCTGTGCTCTGTTTTCCAGTTACTCATTTTCCACTCCCCATTTCAGTGTTTCAGTGTATTTTTACCTGACTTCTGCATGCTTTACCCAACACTTCTCTTCATTTTCTTTTACTGTCTCCATCAGGCTTCACTCATCTGATGAAAGCTCTTGGTATTCTGGGAGAGTCATTTTCTGTTTGGACTACATAGTTTTTACTCTGAGGCTGATCCATATTTTCACAGTTAGCAGGAATCTAGGACCCAAAATTATTATGCTGCAGAGGATGGTAAGATTCTGGCAGCTATTCAAGAGAGTCTAAATAAATGATGTGACACCTTTTTTTTTTCCTCAAGAGTGAAAATCACCACCATTCTGATGATGGCAGCAAGTTCTCTCCTTCTCTTAAATCTGCTAAACAGGATTAATTAAGATTTAAATAGGACCTAATTAAGAGCAGGGCCTTTTCTTTGTCCCTCTGCACAGGGAGAGAATAAAGATCAGGCTGAAGAACAGAAAAGGAAATTTATTCCCTGGTAGCTTTTGTCTTACATGTCTCAAATGTTTCAGTGGTATATTCTATCACTCTTACTGCTCACATGAGTGTTCCTCAAACAAGTCAATGATGATAAATGCTATAGGAGATGGATTTCTGTTTTCCACTGCATCCATCACGCAAGTAGCTGGAGAAAGTGGGTGGTGTGGAGCCTCTCGTGGAGTGGCTACAAATTCTGTCCTTTGTAGCTGGAGGGGATGTTTGCCAGCAGACTGGGAAAGGTAATAGTGGGGTTCCATAGAATACAGGTGTGGCTTACTGTAGGTGTGGGAACGAGGAGCATTGGAGAGCTCCTGTCACCTGGGGCTGATGGTGTATATGGAATTTAAAAACCAGCTGTGTGGTGACAATGAGAGTAACAGCTTAACCAGAAAGCCTTTACTTTGCCTTGTACCACTGCTGCAAAGCTGAAGTCTAGAGATTACCTCATCCTGGAGTGCCTTATGATATGGAAGCAGCAACACAGGATTATTTCCTGTACATCTTGCTCTTGTTTGGCCTTCTTCAAAAGGGTTGAGTTTTTGAGGAAGTCTAATAATAAAGGTGCTTGGGGCTAGTGGAAAGGCAGATCTTGGTGGAGGTGGGTCTGCAACAAATGGAGAAGCTCAGCTGAGATATTACTGATCTTCAGTTATCTGGATATTGTTCAGAGCTAGAAATTCATGAAACCTATCCAGAGTGTCTGGGCTATAAACGCTGGTTTGAAGCCATCCAGAGTGATGTTTTCAAAAGTGGTGGGTGCATTCACCTGACCCTTGGCTGCAGAGTCTGCAGCTACTGTTGTTGCATAAATAGTCTGTGTGTGGATCTGGCTTTTGTGGGTGAAGCCTGTCTGATGCCAGGGGAATATCCTATAGTCTGAAACGTGCCTTGGTTTTATGGTTGCGTAAACATTTTTGAAGTGCCCTGAGTGTCAGTGGTCAATTATTTGCATATGTGTGTTGGTGACTGTACATTGATGGAGCAGAGATCTGAAAACTTGCGTTAAAATGGTACTAACTTGTGTAGGGTTTTCTAGTATTCTCCACCCAACTATCAAATGAGGGGGAAAAAAAAAAACCTTGTGTGGCTTGCAACAGGCATGCAGTAGAGCACTGATGTATTTGCTTATTTTCCATTTTCAGATGATAGATGTCTTCTTCTTCCTCTTCCTCTTTGCTGTATGGATGGTGGCCTTCGGTGTGGCCAGGCAAGGCATCCTGAGGAAGAATGAGCAGCGCTGGGAGTGGATATTTCGATCCGTCATCTATGAGCCGTACCTGGCTATGTTTGGCCAGTACCCTGATGATGTTGACGGTAGCTATCTTCTCTGGGAATCTCTCCTGGGCGAGTGGAAGGCTCTGTCCCGTCAGTGGTTGTCCAGTCCTGTGTTGCCCCCTTTCCTCCAAGTAGCAACAAGACAAGGTTTTATGTCTGCTGGGGAGGTGGAGGAAGGAGGAGGCCACATGTATTGTGGTCAGTGGCAGTACCTGGGGCTGGACGCTACAAAAAGGGGTAGAAGACTCACTGTTTGCTCTCCTTTCTCGCCCTCCGAGGTACCACCTACAACTTTGACCGCTGCACCTTTTCTGGGAATGAGTCCAAGCCCTTGTGCGTGGAGCTGGATTCCAATAACCAACCCCGCTTCCCGGAGTGGATTACCATTCCCCTTGTCTGTATTTACATGCTCTCAACTAACATCCTCCTTGTGAACCTGCTCGTGGCCATGTTTGGGTATGTAATAAAGAACCCATCACTTGCTTGTGATCTCTGTATCAATATCCCTCCGAGAAAGGGGTCGAAGTCCTGGAAAACAGCGGGAAGCCAGCTCTTGGACTCTGCCTGCGACCTTTGCAGAGGAATTGCTGGGAGCAGTCTGGACAGGGTTGAAACAGACCTCTCAAGGTAGCGGTGTGGTGTGGGAAGGTGAACAAAGGCAAGGTTTCTTCAGCATTTCTCACCACAGTCTGATCAAAACCGGTAAAACGTGGTGGGGATGGATTGCTGCCTGTCCTTTCACTACTTCTCGAAGCATGCTTTGCACAGTGGGCTTAGTACAAACCTCTGTGCTTCAGACAGGAGGTGGCAACTGGGTCAGTGCTTTACCAAGTATGACTTGCTGCACTACTGACCTTGCTGGACTGAACAAATAAGTTGCTGTCACAGTGCTTTTATGATGCTGTGTTTTACTGACCAGAACTGCTGTGTGGTCATGATGGGTCTGTTACTGCTCTGGTGGACCTGCTATTTATTGTTCTGACTTATACCACAGGCAACGGGCCACATCTCCTTGGGACATACAAAAGGACTTTGTCTTGAAAAACACCATCATCTCTTTTTTTTTTTTTATGTGGTAATTTATCTGTCTGTGGGCCTACCAGTTAGGAGGCCTATTGTGGCATCTTGTGAGGTGTTATACCATGCAGATGGATCAGACACCTGAAATGTGCTGCTGGTAACTTCTGACTGTATTGCATAGCCAGCACTGATTTGCCAAACAGAAATGGTGGCTGTTGTGCACATTATCTGAGGTACATTGACTGCACTGGGACCAGCAAGAGCAGGGAAAAGTTTCCTCAGCTTCTTTGAGAAATCTTTGTTGTTTACACTGCAAGCTCTGACGCAGAGTTGAGCTGATAACAGGAGGACCTTCATTTCAGAGTTTAGGAGTGTGTTGCCCTCCTGTCTCACTTCTGACTTGCAAATACAGCTGAATTGGTGCTGTGGCTCTGTTCTCCTTCCCAGCTCTGTTTCTCTTCTGCTTTACGCTCCCTTGCAGCATAACAAAAGCACTTACAACCCCTCGGAATCGTTCTTGAGGTCCGCTATGTTTATTGTCGTGTGTTTTGATGGTACCTTGGCAATGACAGGCTTGGCAGAAATTTGCTTTGGCAACAAGAGCGTTTACAGGAACTGCTAAGGACTCTTCGTTTCTCTCAAGAGGATCTCCCTTCCGAATGACAGTGCCAATTTTTCCTGGCCTGAGATGAGATCTAATATTGTGATGAGTTGAGAACGCCTCAGCTTTGGGATCTGCTCTCCCTTCTGCTCTTAACCTTTCTTCCCATGCTGAGCTGGACTCCAAAGACAGTGAGAAATGTGATTTTTGGCAAGGCAGCTAGGACTGATGCAGCATATCTATTTGTTGTACGTGTGTTTTCCTAACCTGCACAGGATTTGAGGACGGAAGACAATACTTACACTCCCTAGGAAAGGTGAAAGCAATTCACATTAATAAAGGAAAACGTAGCAGGAAGCCAGCTCGACCCTAGAAGCCTTTGATATTTGTTAGAACACTCATTTTAACAGCACCTAATGGTAAATGCTGTGGTTTATACAGTTATGCCAGTAAAAAACTAGTTTTTGACAGTTCAGTTGATTTTGTGGAAGGACCCAACACGAATTCCCTAACGATGCTCTCGGAGCTTTGCGTAATTTGTTTTAACAATAGACTGAACAACTTAATGAAGCAGGAGCACTGGCTTGTACTGCAGTCAGGGAGCCCAGTGGGCCAGCAGCAATCCCAGATGTTGTTTTCTTGATGCAGTTAGAAACACGTGAAAGCTCTGGTGGTTCTTCCTGTGACCAGTGTGTACGTAGTATTTGTCAATCTTTAATAATGCTGATGTCTCTTAGACACCAGTCCAATCAGTGTCTCCATAATTATGGCTGTATATTAATTTTACCACCAGAGAATCCAACTTTTTCTTTACATCCAGTATGCATTAGCTGAAAAGGGCAAATATTACTTTTTTAGATACTTCTGAAACTTAGGATTGTATTTATCTTCTAAAACGAAAGGTAATTTCCACCAGGTGAACGTTTTAGCTTATCTCGTGGAAGGGTTTGTTAGGCTCTCAACACAGACATTTTGGAAGTGTCCATCTCCTGTTTAATGTCAGCAGTGAAAGGTCAGGCAGTCTGTGAGCTGTTTGCTCGTGTGATTGTTGCTTTGCAGGGTTCGTACAGTGCTTAGTACAGTAGGTTTGATCCATGCCTGGAGCAGTCTTAATACCTTTACTAAAAATCTCAGGAGCTTTTCCTTTATTTTTTTTAAAGTTCTATTTTTAGGTGGTGGTTTGTTTTTGCTTAGAAAGAAGTTAGCTGATGAATTAATGAGACACAGTATCTTGCAAAGAAGCATCCTGTTCTCATGTCTCTAGGCTGGAAGAAAATTGCCTAGAGCTAAGGTAGTGAAAGTATGTGGAGTATTTTCTTCCTGTTCCTATTTTTTCCAGTTTATTTGTAACTTCAAGGTTGATTTTTTTTTTTCTGCTCCCTTAGTTCCTCCCATTTTCAAATTTCTCCTTAAGAAGGAGGACAAACTTGATAACCCCCTAATCAGTATAAATTACCAGCTCCAGGATGACTTTATGAAAACATGCCTGGGTATAACAGAGAGAAGCGCTGTGTTACTTGGCTCTGAAGGAGGTGTTTGGTGAATAACTAAAGCTGTGTGTATTTTCTCTTTCTTCACCTGTTAGTTACACTGTCGGATCAGTACAAGAGAACAACGACCAGGTGTGGAAGTTCCAGCGTTTCTTCTTGGTCCAAGAATACTGCAGTCGCTTGACTATCCCCTTCCCTTTCGTCATCTTTGCCTACATCTTCATGGTGCTGAGGAAATGTTTCAAATGCTGCTGTAAGAAGGAAAGTAAAGAGCCATCTATTTGTTGTGAGTAAGATTATTCCTTACTGCCTGGAAGTCAGCTCTGTGGCAGGTGCATTGCAACTCCTCCGTGGCATGCTGTGCTTAAACCAGGCAGTTAGTGTTTTGGGAAATTTTCAAGGGCAATGTAGACCTTGGAGGAGGTAGTTGTACTGGAAATGAGGAGCAGCTCAGTCACGTTCTCTATATCAAAAGCAAATCCACTGTGTTGCTGGAAATCTCTTTAGTAAGATTCAAATCAAAACCCCTGGCTGCTTCTCGGCCATAATTTTCCTTCAGTACTCAAGGTTGACTCTCTCTGGGATATGGGGAATTATACTCCTAACTTCTTATCCTAAAACTGCAATTGAGCATTGTTGTGATCCCTGCTTCCCAGTAGCTTTGGTTTTGGTCTGGTTAGAGAGCTTTCATGTTTAACCATGAGACCTGCTCTGCTTGAATACTGTGCAGGACTTTCTCGTCCAAGCCATTTCGAGGCAGAATTGTCTCATGTATGTGAATCAACTGAGTCTTCAAATTAATCCTATCAGTTTAGGGTTGCCTATGCTGCTTCCTGACTTTCAAAGGATTTTTTCTATGAGAGCACTGAATAAATTCATCCAGAACCTGCAGCAGCTGAAAGTCATCTTCACTGTCTGCACAAAAAATGTAAACCATCCCGTTTGTCATTAGCATCTGGTAGTGCATCCGTCCTGCACTCTTCCCAAGTGGCAGAGATCCCTGATCTTCCATGCTCTGAATGTTTAGGTAACTTGTAAAAGATGCAGTCGCAGTCTCTGCTTGCCACTCTACCTTCTGGAATTGCCTTTCTTTTTGATCTTCCATTCCAGTCTCCCAGCTAAAACAGCTAGTAGGTGCTAGGGCAGCCTAGTAGAGCCCAGTCTTCAGAGACATTTCCTACTGGTGAGTGATTGAAAGAGAATGCAGAGTGTCTCCTGGCCCTCTGGGCATGGCCAAATGGGCAAACCACCTCAAAAATGCAGGAGTGGCCCAGTCAGTCCTCTAGCTATTTCCCCCTTATTTACTCTGTCAGAGTGCACAGATAGGAATTGTTTTAACAAGCTTTCTTTCCCCAACAAATGGAATGTGTTTTCTTTTTTTTAAGTGCTATTCAGAAGCAGATGAGAGAGGATAAGTTCAGTTAATTGACAGACTTATTCCCATCCATCAACAACCTGACTGTTCTCCTGCAGCACAGGCTGGATTTGCTAATAGTTTAGGAGAAAGATGCCTGCTTTGGAGTGTAAAATTCCTTGGCACTGACTAAATAATTCTGGCTGTCCAAATGGCTGTTTGATTTCCTTGCTGGGGAGGTTGTTTGACCTGTTTTTGTTTCTGCCTTTATGTATTATGTATTTATTTCTGTCCAAATGATGCATAGTTGATGTTGCAGTTCTGAAAACAAATGGTTAGAGCCAGAATGTCATTGTGGTTGAGCTGGTGACAGGAACTGAGAACTGCATGGAGAAAGCACACTAATGTATTGACTATTGCAAAATCCTGGCTTCCTCCCTGAACTCTTATAGAAATGGTTGGGATTTGGATGCCTAAATGCCTGTCGGTATCTGGGAGAACAACTGAAGCTGTGTGAGGTCAGAGGAGCACTAGTTGAAGGAAATGGGACTTCCTGCATTTGTCAGCTGTGGGCTTCTTTTATCTTAGATAACTTTTTTTTTTAAAATTAAAACCCATGTGGTTTGTGCTGTCCTATTGCAACAGGATGAAATGCAGAAGTATTATTCTGGAGGACTTTGATGCCTCCAAGTGGTTTGGTCTGTGTCACGCTTTAATTTACAGCACCAATGTGAGATGCTTTTTAGAGAAGACAATACTTCATTATTTTGAAATGTTTTCACTCAACGATAAGTCATACAATGTGGTCCTTAACAAGTGTTACTCTTAATGATCCAAAATGAGATAATGTGGAAAAAATTGGAAAGCTCAAACCCAGACAGGAACTTTCTAGAGTGTCCTATGCCTGTTGAAGTGGCTGCCATTTCACAAAGCATTCGTGTTAACCAAGACTCAAAAAATTCCAGCAAGACTTTTGGAGCTTGCTGGGTATTTTTTTTCCATATTTTCTTTTTTTAAACAATTCTAGTTGACGAGAACATACAGTTAAATGCATTAATGCTTGTCAGAGCTGTGTCACAGGTGGGAAGTGGGGCTGTGAATGCTCTGGGTGCAGAAGAGGGAATCTTTAGCCTCTGAATGCAAACACTAACCCAGCCTTTTTGGGTCTTAGTATTGGAAAGACGAATTAACTGAATCTAGCGTTGTTGTTTTTCTTCACATACATTTCCCAGGCTCAAAAAATGAGGACAACGAAATTCTGGCATGGGAAGCTGTCATGAAGGAAAATTACCTTGTCAAAGTCAATACCAAAGCACATGATTCATCAGAAGAGTACGTCCACCCTTCTTTGTCTTCACTTTCTGTTGAATGTTTTTAGTGAAGTCAAGTTTCAGCATCTCTAAATATTTGCAAACTAACGAGTAATTAAATAAATTTGGCATAAATATGCCTTTTCTTTTGATTTCAGTAAAATCATGGCTTTTTTTGTTGGCTGCTGCAGACTGTCTTCAGAAGTAGTTGATTGGGCTGGTAAAATGCTAATGGCAATATTGCAAGGGTTATAATAGCATACTGTGCACACAGTAGCTGGGTAGGTGTATTAAACACACTTATTTCAAATATGTCACAGTATTTCTCAAATGATTTCACCTTTCTGTCCTTCTGTCTTACCACAAGAGGAGAAAATGTGTTCCTGTAGTGTTTTGATATCTCATTGTGGAAAGCAGCACTGTAGCTGCCTAGTTCTGTAACCTTATGCAGTTAGCAGAGAATATTTAGTGTTAGACCTGGAATATCAAGCGCTCCCACAGCATCAATCTCTACGGAGGTCTGTACTTACTAGCATGAGTAGGAACGACCTCTGGAGAGGGAAAGATGCTATTTGGGATCATGGTATTTAAAGGTTGGTGACTTGGACTACGCTGCTTTGACTGCCAGATCACAACACTTTGGGATCTGTGTTTTCAGAGGAATAGTGTAAGAGGAAAGAGAAATATAAAGAAAGCTAGAAAACAGCAAGCAACAGTAACCTTGTGTGTATGATGGCTTAATTTTGTAGCTATATTTCAGCACCTTGAGTATTTCCTTAAATCAAATGTAAGGGAAGAGCTGATAAGAATGGGTAGGAAAGACCAGACTCTTCCATGCCCCTCTGCCCCTGATGCGGACGTTACTGTCCACAAATAAGTGTTTTTGTTGAGTACCCAGAGGCACTCAGCATTGGATAAGAAGCCAAACAAATTAAAAACCCTTGCTTTTATACTGAAAGCAGAAGAGTCTTGACAAGGAAAATGGAATAGTGTAGCACTAATGATAATTCATATGTTAATATATTTGTAATAAAGCATTGCCAAGCCACCTACAGCCCTGCTAGGATGAAAGACTGGTGATCCCAAGCAAGGGTGTCTGCAGACAATCTCTTTTTTTAACTGACCTCTGACTACAGGCAAAGAGGGCAGTCTTCTGACAACTTCACACTCCAATTGCCTTTGGTCAAAGATGAGGACTTATGCCTTTTAGCTCCAGGTAGACTTCTGTAAAGCAGTTCTGCAGTTTTGCAAAACGGAGGGGTTAGCCAGGGCTTCTCCGATACCTGGGCTCAGTCTTCTCCTCTGTGTCCTCTTTCTCTTTTCAGGATGGTGCATCGATTTAGACAACTGGATGCAAAGGTACTTGTGTTTCATACTCCTTGGGGGGATGTGCCTCTGTCTGGTAAAGCAGGTAGCAGTCCACAAGGAAAATGGGTGTCACCGAGAGTCCTGTGCAGTCTTTGTTGCTATTGCCAGGACCCCATTTCAATTGGGCTTTTAAAATATGCTCCTTTGCACCCTTGAGTCCGTAAGAAGCTTTGTATTGTGCCGGAAAATTAAATAGGAAGATGCTTGCTTAGCATTGAAGAAGTGTTTCTCAGTATTTCATCCTTACTGGATGAAATAGAAGTAAAAATAACTTCTATCTTAAAAATATTCGGCTGTGTAACAAGCCCATAAAACACCGATGGGAAGAACGGGCATCACACTCTTAGAGTATGCCCTTCTCAAACACGTGTTCTGTGAAGTTTAGCCTCTCGTGCCAAAGGCATGAGGTAATTGATCCTACATTTTTGTTTGTTTAACCTCTGCTTGTAAAATGAAGTAATGAAGTCGCAGTTCAGATATATTGTGGCTAGCCTTCAGATAGGCAACGCCTGCTGGGTAAACAACGGATGCTCCATACATGTGGCAGGGTAGGAGGACCTTTAATTAGCATTAAAAGGACCAATTCCCATCTGATTCACAGAAACATCCTGTGCTGAAGTAATTTGAAGCTACCCATCTACTAGAGAGCACATAGTTATCAGAATTGTCATAGAAGTATACTTTTTGACTGGGATACTGAAAAGACTTTCATAATGGGTGTTTATTTGAGGGCTTGATTGAGTTATGTATTTTTGCCTCTGAAGTAAGGAGTTGTTTTAGTGTGAAAAGCAGACTTTTTGGAAGTCCAAAGGTGAAAAGGCCCGCATATGCTTCAAAATGCTTCTTTTGATTGCTGTCAAATAATTTAGATTACAAAATAATAGCTTGCTTTCAAGACTGAAATGGAAATGGTGAGCGACCAAGTATGTGTCTATGATGCTCCTCTTGAAACTGAAAGGAAATATGATAACCTTCATTTTCTACTGAAAAGTAATACCCAAGTTGTACCTCTTATTCTGTGGGTGAATACCTTACAGCAAGCTGTGTTGTCTATTCCTACCTTCAGCTTCAGTGACAGAAATGTGCTGAGGCCAGTGCTTAGGAGCAGTGCCCTGAGAGCAAGGCACTCCAGGGATTTCTCACTGGCCCTCACTTCACATGGTGTCCTAAAAAAACAAGCCTGAGGATGTAACGGAGTCCTAGGCATGAGGTTTGATCATAGGGTAAACTTTTCTTTAAACTTGATACGACTGTCCCAAGGAATAATGGGCATCAGTTATGGCATGGGGAAGGTTTGAAGGCAGCTCCACGTGTCAGAAGGAATGTTTCACAAACTGCTCATCTGCCATCTCTGCTTTGGAGGAGCAGTAGAGATGGGAGTATCGATGGGAGCTTGTAGCTGTCATGATGGCCGCCTGTTAATGAGGTGAAATACATATGCATTAGCACTCACTGCATTAATTGCATTGATGAAAACTGTAATTGGGAGTGTTCTTTCAAGCACGGTTGCGTTTGGTATAATATTTGGAGAGGCAATGACTCGTTACACGTATTACTTATTAGCATTGCTTTCCTGTGAAAAGCAATATTGACGCTGCTTCATTTGCCACCACAGTGTGACTACTGAATACAAAAAGCAGTCAGTTATTGCTTTTGAAGTAGTGGCTGGCATCCACAGGGTGCCCAGAGAGGCAGGAGTTCAGATCAGGGAGTTTATGCCTGTTGTTGCTGATGATGTACGGTATTTTCTAGGGTAGGTATGTTCTAGGGTATTTTAAGGCACTTGCTCCTCCTTGCTTGTTTTGGTCTCTTCCTTTCACTTCATCCCAAGCCGTGATCATCTGCTGGAATGAGTTAGATTGACTTTATATAAACAAAGCTGCTTTCTTTTTTTTTTTTTTAATTCTTAAGCTGTCTGACTTGAAAGGCCTTCTGAAAGAGATTTCCAGCAAAATTAAATGAATGCAACTGAAATCTAAAAGCAGCTACTTGAGCAGGGTAAGCCCTCTTTAAATCCATTCTCTGACCTAAGTTATCGGTGTCTGTGGTGTTAAAGTCTCTGGAAGAAGTTGGTATTAATGATTGGTGATTGCATTGATGTTGTCTAGTACTGGAAAAGAAATAAGAGTTAAAGTCTCTTCCTCATTTGTTTTTTCTGGAAAAGATAATTTTCCGTCTGGTGTTTCTAACAATTTTTGGCATGGTTTAAAATATCTTATTTTGCTCCTTTGCCTTTGAAAAACTGTGAATAACCCAAGGTTATTTTAGCGGTCTTTGTGCTGGAGGCCCTCTGGAAAATTAGGAGCTGCTGTGTCGGATTCTTTGCAGTTGGTTCATTTTAACTCTGAAGAGCATAAAAACCAAATAAAAAAGACAGAAGCATGAGTAGGAATAAGGTTTATTTTCCCGTTGTCAAAGTGCAGCATTATGGAAGATCACTACAGCTTTCCTGCGTGCTATACAATAAACTGCAGAGTGAAGAGTTGATCCAAAGTCTCCAGAGCTGCAGTTCAATGTCTAGTCATGAGCCTTGTGTCCTTTTTGATAAAGTTCTGCAGAAGAACTGGGTTAGAGCCACAGGTACTGGTGGGATGTGAAAGCCAGGTAGGATATTTATGGGTGCAGAGAACTCCTGACTTCTTTAAAGACAACAAGTTAAGAAGTGTAGCTGTTGACAAGGATAATCTGGAACAACTTGATCAGCCTGAACATTAGAGCCTGGCTCCTTCTCCCATAGAGGATTTTTCTGCAAGATCGCTTATACCTGTGCCAAACGTTCCTGAATCAGTGTCTCGCCATTTTTTCAGGGATAACTTCATATTCACTTGACCTGAAATTCAGTTTAGTTATGAATGACTTGCAGCCACCTAATAAGATCTACAAGGATTGTCAGTTACTGGGCATTTTCTTGGATGTGGTAGACTCCAAGTCACCTAGAGAATAGGCTGTAGAAGAATGGAACCGTGGAGGTCATCTAGTCTGTTCCTGCTCAAAACAGTGCCAGCTCAGATCAAAGGTAGCTGCAGTTTGGCTGGAAAATAAGTTGCAACTCAGTGAGAACAAATGCAAATTTTACAGTTACCTGGGAATTACTGGCTACACAGGCACAAAATGGGGGAAAATCTGATGAGACAGCGGTTGTGCAAAAAAGTGCCTGAAATGGAATATTAAATAGCTGGTGTTTTGTTGTCTGAGGTGTATGAAGTAATCCTCCTGCTTGTAGTGCAATGAGTCCTCTGCTGGGTACAGCATCCAGTGTTAGCACTGAGTTTCAAGGAAGACAATGGAGTGGCTGGAGGGCGTTTGGAACAGTGGCAAGAGGAACTGGAAGTCTTAACAGCATATTCTGTAGAAAGGAAGGAAGGAATGATGGTTAGCTAGCCTGGGGAAGAAGGTACCTGTTTATGGCGGAGCTGGAGGAAGCGACCTGTCATTATAGATAATGATTGCCTTGAAAAGATGGAGTCCCTTTCCAATTTATGCACAAGTGTTGCACAAGACATGCATTGTCTGAGCTGATATCGTGAGAATGAAAGCAAAATGTTGAGGTGGGCTGGGTGCTCTACTCTAAAATTTTTTTCTTTTGCTCACACAGGTACCGATTCATCAAGAAAAAATTGTCAGAGCTGGCAGTAACCACCAAGCAAACGGTAACTCCTCCACTGGAGTGTCAGTGTCTCAGCAGGAGTTATTAGGCTATTTTTTGGTTGGTTTTTGGTGTTGTTTTTTTTTTTTTTTTGATAAAGCAGCCCTTTCTGCTTGTTGCAAGATTATGATTCTATGATGGTAAAACATTAAGATGACTGTTTATCTCCTGGCAGGACTCCCACATTACCCAAGCTCTCCTTTTTCCTCATCTCCCCTGATGTTCAATGGCAGCAATTAGTCCTTGTCAGCTGCTGTTAAAAAGCACTCTTAATTCCAAGGGTTCTGCTGCCGCTGCCAAAATCACTTTGCTTTTCAATTTCACTCACAGGGCCCTTTTCGTGGGTTTCCTTTAGCCACTAATTGCTTGTCTTAATGAATCAACCTCCCTTCCCTTTCCTTCGTGGAGTAGCCGGATCTAGCTTGTTACTCGCATGGTCTGTCAGACCCGCTGAAGTCTGTAACGCTGGCACGCCAAAATACAATGTATTTCAGCATCATTCCCCGGAGGAAAGACAGCCTTTGGTCCAACCCTGCACCCACATCTCAGACTCTACGTGAACAATGCGGACTTCTTCCTGCTCTACCTGGAACTGTGCGGCAATGCAGAAGCTCAGCTATTAAAACCCTGCATGGGAAAGACTTAATTCATCCAGGAAGTGTTTCCAAAGGCCTCATGTGCAATCCTTGCTTGTTTCTTTAGTGATAATTTGTATACTTGAAGCATTGCAATTCATTTAATTGTTTTTCAAACGTCTGTTTGCAGATGTTCGCGTTTTGAAATGGAGAAGAGGTGGTTGGCCAGCTTTTAAATATTGTGATGCTTGCTACGGTGGTGTTGCTCTTTCCTTCTAAAATAGCAGCTGAATCTTGTGGCGTTTTGTGTGGTGTAACTGGATATATTACCGACCGAAGGTCGTTTATTTACCTTGCAAAGCATTGTGTCCATCTTCATCCCTGGTGTCTAGGAACGATCTCCCGAGATGTTTGATTTTGAAGGTATTTTCCTTTTCCTGGAAACGGCTGTCGTAGTCCATACACTCTGCCATGACTTGCAGCTAGTCTGAGGGCTGTCAGGCAGGATATTTGGGTGCTTACCTGGGTGCCAAATGAGATGACTAGTTAGGTAGGTGGAGAGGGAGTTTCTGCTGAAGCAGAACACTCCCCAGGTGAGTGTTCCTTGACCTTCTGTGAATACAGCCGTCTGCTGCCTGGCTGGAAACCAAAGTGCACAAGAGCGTGTTCCGGTCCGTGTCTGCTGTGAAAACGTGTTGGTCCGAGATGGTGAAGACAAAACTAGACCCTTTTATGTGTGTTGGTGTTTGCTTCAGTACTGGGGTATGAAGCACTGATCCATGTGGGGGACCTTTCTACTTGGGGCATGTAGCTGACTGGGGTGCAGCTTACTGACTGAGGCGGCCAGCACGTGCGTGCATCTTTTACTGGAGCTGCTGCTCTGCTTGTCTTTGTAGCTGAAAATAGAATAGTTTTACAGGGAAAAGTGTGATGAGACCATATCAGAAAGGTTACTGCTCTTTTCTTGCTGCTTCACATGATCTGACTTTACTCTGTGCTGTGCATTACATGATCCCACGGGATACAGCACTATCAATAGCAGTGTTACTTATTTATATGTGGAAATATTTATGTTTTCCTGTTAAAAAGCTTATGAAGGACTCAGGCTTTCATCAGCTTCCGTGGCAGTTAGCTTGCATCTGCAATTATTGAGATACGTTTCCTTTCTAGAATTTACTTTTTTCTATGTCATTTGTATGCCTCAAATGTGAAAATTGTGCTTTTAGTTCATTCATTTTGTATATAAAACCTGCAGTGTACTTGACAGCAGCTCTAGTGATCTGTTCTCTTGTAAAATGGTGACTGTAACTCTGAACCATGTTCTGAAAAGTCAAAACCCTGGAGCCTGTCCCTGCCCACTGCTGCAGCCCCACTGCGCCAGCCCATCCCCCCCAGCCTATACCCCACACACGCTCCCTTCCCTCAGGTATGTGGCCCTGTGGCGTCTTCTCCAGGCTCCTCTCCCTCCCTGAGCCCAGGGGTACCGATGGAGCCCCAGCCCACCCAGGCTTTGGCAGCAGGGTGGCATTGCAGCTCCTTGGGGAGCACCCAGCCCTCTGCTCCCTCCAAACCCTGGCAACAGCCGGCTGGTTTCCCTGGCAGGGGAGGCCAGTCCGGGGCGCAACGATGGTCTGGCCAAGGGGGGTAGTCTATGCCAACCCTTTCCTCCATGCCCTTGCACAACCACAGGGCTCCCTGCCACCCTCTCCCAACCCTGCCCTTGGGTGTCACACTCGGGGAACAGCCCGGGCTCAGCGCTGCCAAGGGGAGCTGTGCCGCTGGGGCCGGCGATGGGCTGTGTGTTCCTGGGGCTCGCCGGTTGGTACGCAATGAAGCAGGAGGAGAAGCTCCAGGTCATTCTACGAGGGTGAGGGCAGCGGGGTGGCAGTGGGGCTGGTGGGGAGGAAGAAGGAGCCTGGGCAGGGAGATACGATGCCTGCCCCAGCTGGGGAGGGCTCTGCTCCCTGCCTGGACGAGGGGTGGTGTGGGCAGAGCGGAGGGAGATTTCAGGGGCATGTGGAGTATTCATGGCCAGCACCTTCCAACTGATCCTGTTGGCCCCTGCTCCCTCCTGGCCATGGGAATAGTTGGGGTGGGGTGGCCCTGGCAGGAGGGGATCCTGGGGTCCCTGCAGATCCAGTCTGTGACCTTTACTGTGTTTCTCTCTATCCTAGCCCTTCAAGACATGAAAGATGACACCAGCTGCTCCATCTCAAACCTGGCAGCTCAAACCTGTTCATCCTAAGAGCTGCAGAGAGAGTGTCTTCTTCTTGACTTAGACTAGCACTGCTCCAAGAACAGCTCTGGAAGACATGAAGGAGAAGTAGACCTTCTCTCCTGCACACTAGCTTTCTGTGCTGCTGGAGGTCTGCACAGAGCTGATCCTGGGCACAGCAGAGGATGCGCTGAAGACTAGGTGGCTCCTGGCCTCTACCTACCCAGGGGACAGCTCCAGCCCTCGGGCCCTGCCTGTCCCCTTCACCTGCTCCCAGCTCATCCATGCACTTGGCCTTCTGCAAATAAACACTCCTGCTTCTTCACCTCATCTGCGTGTCTTTTCTTTGTGGAAAAGAAACAGCACAAAACTTGGGCCCTGAAGGACACAGCCACTGGTCCTGCCTGTCTTTTGCCCCGTGTGTTGTGTGCAGAGATGGAGAGGAACAAGGAAAGTTCATGGCAGAAAGGTCCTGTGGTAGGGTTAGTCCCTGTTCTGAAAGTCTCATCACCTTACCAGACACAAG